AGTATACTATAATATGAATCAAAAATCTCATTTTTTGTTGAAAGGTCCCCAAAACCCATTTTTAATAGCAAAGCTCCTATATAATATTGACTCTATCGTATGCTTTTGATATATCTTAAAAAAGAATATATAAATTAGATTGATTGAATTTGTCAAATTTGTTGTTAATATGATAGAATTCAAGAATGTTATTAACAATGTGTAAGAATTCTATTATTGATTGATGTAGTAGACCGGCGAAATTTAAGTCTTTAAGAATATTATTTTTTATAAAAAGATTTTGCAGTCTTTGATTTAAAATTTTGATAAAGGCCTTTTGAACAGTATCAAGAAAGTGATAAATTGTGTATTATTGAGCTTACAGTTCTAAGGTTTTGGTTTAGGAATTGGATATACGTTTGCTAAATTCCATTGTGTAGGTGTATTTGAACTGATAAAACAAGCTCATATAATAGTTTATAAAAGTTTGTTCATTTTTGGGCCTAATTTTTTTAGCATTTCATTTGGTAATCTGAAAGGGTCAAAAGTTTTATGGTCAGGTAGATGTTGTAAGGTCATTAACCAATCATCATATGTAGGGATATCTATAATATTAGAATAAATATCATTATCAATTGTTTCAATAGTGCATAATGATGTTTCCAATTATTCCAGTTTAAATTAAAATTAGTTGAATTTTGATTTGTGATATCTCTGTTTGTTGAGGCAGCTATGTTTTGAAAGTAAGATGCTGTTTGGGCTTTGATTTTATCTGGAACTAATTATAAATATTACTTTGGGATATCTGCATCAATTATGATCCGGTCAAGAATAACAGCTTTTCAATTTCTTTTGAGAAAGAATCTATCAAAATGCCTTTTGGGTTAAATTTTTTTTTTTTTTTTATAGAAAATTCTCATTTTGAAATTAAAATAAGATTTGTTTTTGTTAAAAAAAAAATAAAAAAAAAAGTAAAGGAAAGTTAAAAAATCAATATAAAATTACCTTCAATTTTATTTCCTTGAATAAAATATATATTGCATTTTAAGTAGTAAAATAAATAAATGTTATTCAGTTTCATTTAGAAATTACTAATTATAGACAAGACTAATCATTTATCAATTATAAATAACTCTTGTTAAAAGATTATTATAATAAATTACTGTATAATAAATTTAAGAAAAGAATAACGATCTTAATTTTCATGGGATCTAAATTTCAAAAATTTCAAAATATTAATATTAGAAAGTAAATATACTAGAACTGGAAAATTTAGGACCGCTTAACATTTACACTACGTAAAATCGAACATCTTTGTATTTCTAATAAAATTTTACAGGCAATTGTAAAGATTAATTAACTCATGATTTTAAACGATTGATATAATAAAAAATATTTCTTAAATAGTGCATTCTAATTTATTATAGTCTATTGAAGCAATAAGTTTTGAGGATTTAATTTTAGATTATCTCATATAGAAATTATTCTTACACTTAATAAGGAGGACGAAAGGAAAATTTAGATTAGAAATACTATATTTAATAAAAAAGATTTACGTCAAGCTAATAAAATAATCAAATCTGTTATAATTTTGCGGATGAAATTTCTTAGATCGCATTATTATTTAATTAATGAAAATAAATAAATAGCCAAAGTGAAGAACTACAATTATAAAATTTTTTTATAATAAATACTTTATAGAACAAACAAATATATTATAAGTAAATCACTGATTTGCCTTTACTCGGTTTATAACTTTTAATATTACTTATTAAATATATACACACATTTCCAAGAATAAAAGGAATTTCATGCCCAAAATCTAACTCATTATAGGTTTTGGTCTCGTCGTACATTATAAATTCGTTTCCGCAAATATGATTTGTTATTTATAACATTCTTCCATATAGGGTATTCCTATTAAATCAAAATAAACGATTCATCGTATTAATATATATATATATTTATTTAATTTTTAAAAAAATGCTTATTCAAAATATTTTATATTTTCCTGAGGAAACATATTGATATTTTCCGATCCATTAATATCTAAGGGATCACTTAAAAAACGCTTCGCTGAGAATTCTAAAGATGACGAAGAAATTGACCGAGTAGGAAATATGATATTGGGTGTTTGAGTGGTTCTTTGATAATGGATTTGAACAGATGCCCTTAAGTTTTCAAATTGATCATTCATTTGCGCAATATCCTGTTGAACCTTAACTAAAGCTTTTTTGGCTTCGTCACGTTCATCTTCTGCTTTACGAGCGTAAGTCTTCATATAACCTAATTGCCTTTTTAAACCTTTATATTCTTTTGGTAAAGAAGCCATGGTAGGATCGGTTTCTGTAAATGTGACAACATAAAGGGTCTTTTTGATATTTTGTAATGATAATTAATTATAAATTAAATCAAACTTACTTTCTTTTTTGCTCGACCTAATTTTTGTCTGCGAACTGTTTTCCTTAGGGTCACTTTTCTTAAAATAAGTAATTGTTTCTAACCTTTCTTTTTGTTCATATAAATTTTGTTGTTCCAATTTCTCCTCTCTCATTTGATGTTCATTTGATAATTGTTGTAGTTTACGCTGAAGAATTAATTGTTTATTCTTCAAACCTATGTCTTTATCAATTTTACGATGTCTTGTTTTTTTAATTTTTGGTAACTCTATCTCAATAAAAATATCATCATCATCCATTAAACTACATTCACCGACTATTTGAAGATATTCTTCTCTACTTGACCCTCGTATTATATCTTCTTCGGTTATATCAAATTTACTAACTGGATCAAAGTTGGTTTTTGAATTATCAACAGCTTTTAAATCCAATTCCTCACCTATTTTAATAGATTTTAATGTTTTACTAAAATTTTCAATTACTTCCTCATCTCCTGAAGAAGAAAAATATGATAAATCTCGTAATTCATCATCATCATCATTATGGCATAATTCTTTATCTGTTTCACTTTGTACAATTCTATCTAATTGTTCATAAAATTCATAGTAATCACTATCATTTTTTGGTCGTTCAACTGTATCACTACCACCAACTTCTTCACCAAATGTACTAGTCGGTGATACTTTCGGAAGTGTTGGTATTTCAATAACTTTATCCATGTCGTTATTATTCTTATGATGGTTTTAAAATAAGTTAAATAAAAAAAAAATAAATAATAAAAAGGATAGCGATAGGATAGGTTTAAAATGTTTACGTAAATATACAAGAAATGTAACAATGATATCACGTGATTTTGTACTATAATATTATTTGTTGAATTTAATATCAGTAAAATTCATTTAAAAATGAAGCTATTAAACTGATTTATTTATGCCAAAATTTCCTTGCAATACCAGCATCATTGGTATCCAATGAAAGGTTATTTCGTATGCTGGGACGAAGCTGAAACGAATCATATTGAGATAGATTAACATCTTATATTTATTTATTTTTTTTTTTTTGCTTTTTACAAATTTTTATACGTGTATTGTATTACATAACAGTTTATACCTGTGTAAAATAGTTAATAATTATCAGTATGTACCTAAAATATATTATATTTTCCGTTTCCGCAATTATGATTCACTAAATAGATATATGGTATTATCGTTATATTACCTATTTTAAAAGATTTTAAAACCCTAGTTCATCTCCTGAAGAAGAAAATTATGATAAATATCGTAATTATTCAATATTTTTATGAAGTAATGCTTTACCTGATTCATTCTATCATAAAAATCATTATTATTAGTCCTTCATCTGATAATTACCATCGATATTAAACTAATTAGACAAGCATTTTTTTTTTAAAAAAAAAAAATATTCAAATCAAAGAGAATATCACATGATTATAGTGATTATATAAAAAGTGACTACTGACAGAGAATTCCATTTTTTTTATGCATACATTAAAAATATCTTGCTATATTTAGTAGCACCTTTAAAAAAAATTTTTTTTTTCTCCTTTACATCGTTGCATTTCGTGCATCCTCTTATATATTTTTCCGAGGTATTAAAAGATTAAAAAATTTCCGATTTGTTTATTTTTAAGTTCATTAAAACTTTTTTAATTCCAAAGATTTGTCACTTCAAATAACATTACACTTTATTTATGTAATAACTATCACACGACTAACGATAAATGTTTAAATCATATAATTCGGATCTAAGAATGACATTATTTGTCATTTAACTTTAAATAAAATTTAATCAGTAGATTTAATTGTATATAAATAATGAACTTTCTATGCTTAAAATGGTGATGATGCTAAATTGTATATAAATGAATAATAATTGTAATTAATATAAGAATCATTCTTTCCTTTGTCAAACTTTAAATATACTTTTCAAAAATTGTGTTTTTTATATATATAAAAAAACCCTTTTTGATTATGCAATAAAACATACACAAAAAAAAAAAAAATGAGAATTTTGTAATATAAAATACAAAAAAAAAATTTCAAAATACAAAAAATAAAGCTTCAACAAAGAAAATGCGTAGAAGTAGTGTATGGATAGGTTAATAACCTATTTGTTAATGATTTTTGGAATGTTTTTTTTTTACGAATCAATCACAAATAAAAAGTCCTAATCTTTAAATATTATACATTCTAATTACCCTTCCCTCTTTTCCTTAATATGCGCTGTTTCTTGAAGAATTCTTTACCAACATTCTCTTATCAAATCGTAACAGATCATACGAATGAACAACAAGCGATCTTTTGCGTATAGTGACACATATTTTGCCTGGAGTTACTTCTTTATTCTTCTCGTGATCACTTACGCCACTATCGCTGTTGTTACTGTCGCAACTGCTGTCATTACTGCTCGTACTAGATAAACTCACTTTACCGGATGAATCTTTATCATCGGGTATGACATCCCTATAAGTAGTTGTCACTACTTCTTCTGTAGAGATATCATCAAATAAATCTAAATCTAATTCACATTCACTGTCTGGACATTCATTCTTATAATCATTTAATTGATTGGCATATAACAAGAATTTCAATCCAACTGCAGCTCTTCTCATACTTAAAAGTAAAAGTTTTTGATGTTTAATTTGAAAACGTGGTAATGGATATATAGGTGGGTGTGGAGGTTGGGGATCGGAAGAATTGATATCTAAACTTATTGGAGTTGTTGCAGAAGTATGAGTTGTCGTTGTAGATGCGCTTTGTAATTCTGGTGAATTCAACATATTTGACATTGGTGATATAGGAGATATAGGAGATTGCGGCTCTGGAGTATTTACACTGGAGACTTGATAGATATGGTCTTCGAAGTAGGAACTGCCCTTTCATCATTCGGGAGTTAGTATAAAAAAATTTCAAAAAAAAAAAAAAAATTCAAAAAATTTTTTTTTCGTTTATTATCAAATACCTTATAATGTCTAAATGGTGACAAGTCCAATGATTCATATTTCAATGGTGACCCAACATCATCGAAATGTTTAATTGTGAGACTTGCTTCTTGGATTAATCGAGCATACTCGTGTATAGCTTGTAACATAAGATCAAGTTGTTCGGTAGTCCTGGATTGATTATTACAAATATTTGCTACATTTGATCTAGCACATCGATGTTTTTCAAGGATCTAGAACGGGAATAATAATAATAATTACTATTTATTGAAGAATAAAAAGGAGAAGAAATCTATATATATTATGCTTTTTTTAAAAAACAAAAAAAAACCAACATCAAATATCTGTTCTTGAATCTTTTTCAAATCATTGTTGATATCCTCTGTGTCTTCACATTGAAGTGATTTTAAATTTTCCAAACGGTTTTCATTTTCAAAAATCTTTTCTTGTGTAGCTAAAATACATTCTTCAACGGAATCTAATAAAAATTATTTTATATACATATATATATATATATTTTTAAAAAAAAAGAATAAAAAATAATTAAAATAAAAATGAGTCATGATAATAATAAAAGCGAAAAAAAAGGTATCGTAAAAAAATTATTCATTATACCTTGATTTCGTTTAATTTCCTCTATATTTGCAAGCCATTCAGGAGCATCCTCGAATAATTTTTCCATGGAATGAGCAATCTCATCCAAATCTTGATTAAATTGGTTAAACTCATTTCTAGAACGATCCAAATCTAACTCAAATGATTCGTCCGTCTTAATAGGGGAAGGAAGTGGCGAGCCGGTGAGCAGCAGGTTAGGTAACTTTATATCCGGTTCCTAAGTTAATAAGATGTAAGTTTAGGTTAGATTTCTCTAAATAAAAGCAAAAAAAAATCAAAAAATAGATAAATTACGAGAGCGCAGGGGAGTGAAAAAAAGAAATCCAAGTAAAATGACTTATTTGCTGCGAGAGCTAAAAAGTTTCTTCCATGTCGCTATAAGAAAAATGATTGGTCAAGGGTATACATATAGGAAAAAGCCCCTGAAAGTTATCGCGTTTCTCCGGAGTTACACCCCTTCACTATTTTGTAAAACATACCTTTGACATATGGTTAAAGAAAAAACGACTTTCAGGAATCTTGATTGAAATACCAGGAAAACGTTTCCCCATTTTCTGTCAAAAAGGAAAGCGATATAAAACTAACTAATAAAACTATAATAAATCAGAGAGCCTCAAACAGTTTTACACAGGATTGAAGAAGGAAGAGTAATATTTCCAACAAATAAATAATAATTTAAAAAAAATTAATTATAATAATAAAATTAATATCAATATGATTATGATTATTATTATTAATATTATTTAAGGAAGGAAAATTTAAAGTCTAAAACCACTTTAAAAATTAAAGGTGGGTAGACAAATTATAAGAATTTATAAGAGTTTACAATATATTTTCTACAACATTTGGGACACCAAAATTTACACAGTAGGTTTAAATATCGTTTTAAACGCGTATACTTGAAAGGGAAAGAGGACAAAATTTGAAAAACCAATAAAGAAAGAAAGCAAGTTATAGAGAAAGTAAGATGGTACGATAATGTCGAGAGCTAACAGCTAACGACCTACTCAGGATGGTTATCAAGTTTATATGAAAAAAGTTAAAATCGAACCGCAGATCGTATGACGATTTATAAAAAGTAAAATCCCATAGAACTGATTCAGGTGACAAGGTACCGCCGTTTCCTGAGTCACAAATTTGTAAGGGAAATATAATGATATGTTCAACATTCCCCCAATTTCTCGTAACTTTTAATAAATCGATCTGCGTTGTATACTCCTGCGCCAAGTGCATAATCATGGATATCAGTTAATGTAACTTCTTACACAGCCAAGCCACCCAGATGTCCGTCTACTTATGGCTAATGCCCCTGATAGCCTTTTCTGACGATAGTATCGATTACGCAATATATGATTTCATCAATTAATCTTAGCTTTCAAGATTCAATAATGGCACTTTTACCCGATTATGTGCCAAGTTACGTACAGTACTTTATAGCTGGTACATCTCTATTAACTTTAACTTTTGCAGGTTTATTATACTCGTTTCAGTGTACTTTGATATATCCTGCTCGATTTCCTAATGGGTCTCGAAGCGTCGTAAGTATTACTCAAGTAAAGTTTAGTATGTAACTACATAATTTCGCGAAGCTTTATTCGTTAAATAGGTATCGAAGCCCTCCGAATTTGGGATGGATTATACCGAAGAAATTTTAATGACAAAAGATGGGATTCAATTAAGAGCATATATATGTAAATTACCCCAGAATGCAAGGAATAGACCTACCGTTTTATTCTTCCATGTAAGTTTCATGTATTTTGTATAATTGTTGGGCTGTTTTTGACATCTCTCTCATCGTTTTTAATGAAATAGGCCAATGCCGGAAACATGGTACTTTTATTTTCGATTCATCTATTTGAATAAGTGCCATTCATTGATTCATTTTTATCTAGGGACATAGATTACCCATTGCAAGAAAATTTTATACCGACTTCAAGTGTAATGTCGTAATGCTTTCATACAGAGGGTAATTGTGATATAAATTTTTAGGATTAAGTTTATATCTTGATAAATTTTGACAGATTATATTCACATATTAGATATGGTCTGAGTGAAGGAACTCCGACGGAAAAAGGTCTTAGAATTGATTCTCAGGTTTTATACTCGGATAACTTGATTTTATTCTTATGATATTAAATTAATTGGATTAATTAATTAAATTTTTATATTCTCTATTCATAATAGACAATATTAGATTTTATTTTGAAAGATGAGGATTTAAAAAGTACAAAATTGATCGCATATGGCCAATCCCTTGGGGGTGCTGTGTCAATTGATTTAGTATCCAGGAATGAAGATAAATTCAGTGGCTTGATATTAGAAAACACTTTTCTTAGTCTTGTAATTTTCCTTTTTATTCATTCATTCGTTCGATCAAATTTTTATTTTCTTAATATATATATATTTTTTTCATTTCATTTTTTTCTAACTTAGCCCAAAGTGATACCACACGTACTTCCACAAATTAGATATTTGTCCTTTCTCTGTCATCAAATCTGGTCATCCGAACAATCTATACAACAAATTGTTAATATTCCGATATTATTTTTATCTGGGCTACGTGATGAATTGGTTCCACCATCACATATGCGTCAATTATTTGAATTGTCTCAAACAAGAGCAACAAAATTATGGAAAGAATTTAGTAATGGAACTCATAATGATACCGTATTTCAATTCGGATATTTTGATGCTATTGAAGACTTTATAAAAAAATATGTCATTAGAGAAGAGTAAGAAGAAACATAACAATCACAATAATAAAAAGCCTCTATATTATTAATTATAATTCGCTGATTAATAATTACATTTAGAATAGAAAATTCAACTAGAATTACTAAAGTTAAAATGAGATATATATTTCTACTAGAAATGAATTTCGTATCGACAATGCATAAAAATGTGATGATTTCTTTTCTTTATTTTTTGCCAGACTTCTTAATACCACCACCGACTAACATTTGATAAATTAATTTATTAGTTTTTAAATATGCTAAAAAAATTTTTACTAAATTATTAACATACCTAACGGTCCACCTTGTTTGGCCTTTTCTTTTAACTCCTTTAATTTTTTAGCTTCTTCTTGTTGCTTTTTCTTGAATTCGAGATCAGCATCATCCACATCTGTTGATTTCTTCTTTCCTTGTTTAAGTGGCTTTAATTTACCGCCTTAATGAAGAGAGAATGGTTAAAATAGACAAGTTTATAAACGATAAATTATATTATTATTTGTTTACCTTGACGACCAGACATTTTTTGAAATTTTTATTAAACTTTTTTTGTAATAAAAAAATTGAGGAATTAATTTTAGAATTTGTTTGGTTTTTGCTTATTTATATCTATTTTTTTTACTGTACGACAATAAAATGTAAATTTGACGTATTCATATCATATTTCTTCTCACTGAAAAATTCAATGGTATTTAAAATTTCACTATTTCTTATTATACATTTATTTAAATTTATAATAATTGGAATTTTAATTATGTATTCACCCTTTACGTAGGACAAAGAAAAATCAAAATATCGTTATTCTTCAGAGATTCAACAAATGATGTTTGTTTTCGGTGAGGTCTCAGAACCTTCACTTGAAACGATAAATCTAGTTGAAGATATCGTTCGCTCTCAAGTGATTGAAATTGTAAGAATTTTATTGTAACGTTTATATTTTCACAAAAAAATTGATAATTATTATTCTAATTAATCAGATAATACAAGCTGCAGCTCAAGCTTCAAAACGTGGGTCTAGGTACATGAGCGCTGAAGACTTAATTTTTTTAATTCGTCATGATCGTGCTAAAGTAAATCGATTAAGAACCTACTTAAGTTGGAAAGATGTACGAAAGAATGCAAAAGATTCGGGTGGTAATGATGCGACTGAAGAAATAATGGAAGAACCGAATGCAGGTTTGATTCATTTGATTATAATTTAAATACGAAATTCATTCTATATGACATTAATATTTCTCATTTTATGACCATCTATATTTATCTATCCTGGTAAGATTTTTCTTTGATATAATTTGTTGTAAATCATACTTTGCTAAATTAGAACTTTTATTTTTTTACAGATGAATAGCCAAGGCACGAAAAATGAAAGTTAAACTTTCCTGGGAACTTGTCAATTCGTTTTCTGAATTTTTAAATGCTGACTCCGATGACGATGATGAAGAAGAGTTAGAAGCTTATAATGATTCTATACAAAGATTAAAGGTGTTGATTCTTAAAAATTTCTGTTTAAGATCATTTCTATAAATTTTGTGCCATTTTAAATATTTATTTTCTCTGCATATAGGATGCTGATGAAATTACTCGAGCTATGACTCGAGAGGAGTATGTGCATTATTCAGAATGTCGACAAGCATCTTTCACATATAGGAAAGCAAAACGATTTCGTGAATGGGCCAACATGTCTGCTTATATAGATATGAAACCTAATGATGACATTATAGATATTCTTGGATTTCTTACATTTGAGATGGTTAGCACCTTAACCGAGACAGCTTTAAGGGTCAAAAGAGATTTAGACAAGGACCAAATGATTCACAACAAGAGCCTCAATCGCCCTAGAGGAATATTTGAAGATGAACTTGAAAATAGGAATGTGTATTTATTTTCTTCACCTCCTTCAGAACAAACAGCTTTACAACCTTCACACATTCATGAGGCTTTTAGACGATTACAAATGCTTCTTCCCAAGCCAATCAAAAATTTTCGTGGAGGTTTGGTTAGAACTAAAGTTTCTCTTATTTAGATCCTTTTTGGAAATAATTGGTTTTAATTTACATTTATTATAAATTAAAACATTTGTTTAAATTATTTATATGATATGTGTTAAAGGGAAAGACAAAACTACGAATATTTATAATGAATTACCGTATCATGTATTTATTTATTTTTAAACCAAATTGCAGTAAGCCGAAAGTTATATATTTCTTTTTCATTACAGGCTCTTATTTCTTCTAGAATACCTTATTATATACTCTGCCTATTTGATATTAAGGTACAAAATATTACATAACTATTATTATAATATTAATATAATAAACGCAAAATCAGTCATATTATTATTTGAAATATCTTATCTTTTTAACAAAAACATTCTTATTTTTGAATTAATTTTATTATATGGTGGTGTGCTATTAAAATATAAAAATTACATTTAAATGTTATATTTAATCATAATTCAATAATTTATACTAAGAAAAAAAATGAAATTATTTATTTAATTTATTGTATCAAATAAATTTATATTACTAATTAATTTCATCATTTAAATATTAAAAGTAAATTTTATCAAAAATGATTTAAAATAAAAATTGTAAATAGTGAAATTACCTTTCTTAATATGACGAAATTGACGAAACCGAAATGACGAAACTAGTTTTTATTAATGACAAAATTATTTTACTTAATTGCCGAAATTATATTTAACTTGATCTAAATTCCTTGAATTAAAATACATTAAAAAATATAATAATTTTATATTTATTCATGTAAAAATATTAAAGAGACAAAACCTTTTGACGAAACTACAATTTTTCAAAAAGAGTTTAGGCAGGTATCACTAATTATCTTTTTAATTCTATTATAAATCTGATTGAGTAAATTATAATTATTAAGTTATATAATATTAGATTATATTAGTTGTTTTATTTATGTAATACAATAGAAAAGAAAGGTATCAATCAATAATATACACAAATTATTATTGATTTATTATCATAAAAGTATATAAAAAAACATTTAGGGATGTTAAACAATCCTAAATTCCAATAAATTTGCCAATTCTAAAGAAGAATTTTATTTTACTGATGTTATATTTACTTTTTAATGATAATATATTAATTGAATTTATATATTAAACTTATATAGGAATCCAGAATCTTAATTTTTGAAACATAAGATCCAATCCTAAGGATTAGAACAGTTTCATGAAAATTATTAATTTCAAAATTCATATTTTTTTAAAAAACTATTCATAAAATTTATTATAATAATTTTTATTAAGAGTTACTTATTATAGGTAAGCAATTAGACTTTTCTATAATTTTTAATCTCTAAATTTTATTCAAAATCAGTTATGACTATTTAATATTTTTAGAAACATATATAATTATAAATTTTTATAATACATAAAAATATATTATTATTCTTCATTTTATTTTAGATAATAATTTAAATTTATTATTTTAAAATCAAATAAAAATAAATAATACATTAATTTGAATTAAAATTAAAAATAATAAATCTATTAAAATTATTATAAATATAAATAAAAGTATAATATTTATAAATATATATTTTACTATAAACTTATACAAATTTATATTTCCTTATATAAACTTATTTGATTTAATTTTATAAATTTTTATATTTATATAAATTAAAACTATTATATTTAAACTTATAATCAAAATTTAAATAATTTAATAATTAATAATATTAAAAATATTAAAAATTTAATATTAATTTCTTTAAAATTGATTTATTATAAAATAAATAAAATTTATATTACTTAAAACTTAATATTTAAATTTTTAAATTTATTATTTATATTTGATAGATAATTTTTAATTTAATTATAGATAATTTAAGATAGATATACAACTATTAGAATATAATCAGTTCAATATAGAATCTTAAATATAAGTATTATTATAAAGTTTGCAACTAGTTATAGCTTTTTAGATTACAATTTGAATTATAACTAATTGCAGAATTTATAAATCAGTTGCAATAATATCTTTATAAATAATACTTTTATTTAACATATTAGAAATAAATTTTCTAAATCAATATTACTTATTTTTCTTGTAATATTAAACCTAATTCTTTAATAGAATTTGATTTAAAATGATATTATTAATGATAATATTCTAATAATTCAAGTTGAAATAAGATATTAATTAAATAAAGAAAGTATTAAAAAAAACTTATAATATCAATAAAAATATAATACTAATAAAAAAATTAAAAAAAATTATTATAATGGTAATGATAATATTAAGAATAATTAATTTTAATTTAATATATTTTAAATAATAATTATTTTCATCAATATTTATTTTAAAATATGAAAGATTTGTTAGGAAAATAGGACTTTGAGAATTTTTTATTAAAATTTTAATAAAAAATGCTTAAAGTTCTATTTTTCTAGCAAACTTACAATATAATAAAAGTTTAAAATTATTTTACTTTAAAATGATAAAAAATATATATGCAAATTTAATTTATCATTATTTTTTATTATTAATTAATATAAAAGAAATATTATTATTATTAAAGATGGCACTGTAATTAAGAAGTTGCAACTCGGTAAGTTGCAACTTGGGTTGCAACTGGTTGCAACTCCTTGCAAAATTTATTTTAATATAAAAATGTATAAATAGTTGCAACTTAATAAATTGCAACTTAAGTTGCAACTAGTTAAAAATTTTAAAATTAATTACAACTCCATCTTTAATTATTATTATTATAATATAAATATAAAAGTCAGTTGGAAATTTCAAAATTTATTATGATCAATAAGTAAATTATTTTTTAGTTATATTAAGAAAATTTTTATTGTGATTATAAAAATTCTGTATTATTAAGTAATTTGTCTTATAACTTATAACTTAATTTTTAATTATAAATTTTAAGATATTAGATTATTATATATTAAAGTTCTAAACAAATTAAATCAATCTAAAAATTTCAATTTAGTTCAGTTTTTTAAATTCAGATTGTAAAAAATTTATTCAAAAAAATTTCAGATCAATTCAAAATTTTTTCAGATTAATCTGAAGTTTCAGTTAATAATAAACACTTTTGAATATTAGGGCATCTTTTAGACTTTTATTAAAAAAATAGTTATACTAACTGTTAGTATTAGAAAAATAATAATAACTGTTTAAATTATTGAAGGTAACTTTATTATAAAAAATAAAATACAAGTTATACTCAAATTGTTGGAGATAACTTATATTAGAAAAAATGATAATAAATATTTCTAGCTTTGGTTATAACTATTTTTTATAATATAATAAAGTTGCTTCTGATACTTCAAGTATAATTTTTCTAATAAAGTTGTATCTAAATTGTTAAAAATAGCTTTTATTATCACATTTGAATTTTTGGAAGATAAGTTTTATAATAAAGTTACCTAATAATTCAAATGCAAATTTATTATCATTTTTTATAATAAAAGTCAATTCTGATAGTTTAAATGCGATTTTTATTATAATTTTTATAATAATAGTCATATATTATTATTTTACGATACTAATAACTGCAAATTAGTATTAACGTAAGGTTAACAAAGGATTTAGCTTTAAGATTATAACACAAGATTTATAAGATGTAATTTACGGGTTAAGTAATTTAGGGTTTTATTAAATAAAAAGGATTATTACAAGTGTATTTGTTACCATACAAGTGTATTTAGTAATTATCTTATTAGCAATAAAACTATGCAAATTTTCTAGGTTATGATTATGTTTTTCCTCTTTTAATAAAGTTCTAAAGCTACTTTTTTTATAAGAAACTTGATAATATAAATAAATAAAATACTAAATAATAAAATATAAATAAAAATAAGAATGTAATAATTGGTCTTTCATCATATACCTAATATATATTACATATGACAGATTTAATCAATCTGATAGATTTTAAGAATCTACCAGTTTTAGTTAATTGAATAGATTTTGAGGATCTGCCAATTTTAATTAATTGGATAGATTTTGTGACAAAGTAAAAATCATGTGATCTATAAGGTAACTTTTTAGTTTATTACAATATAATATTTTAGACATAACTTATTATTGTTACGGTCAGTTCTTTATGTTGCTTAAATGTTAAAAGCGGACGGATAATATATGTGGTAAGCAGAAGGTTTT